ATAAAAATTTCAGTTTTATATAAAGTACAGAAAATATTTTTTACTTTAAAAACTCTGCAACTTTATTTATGTACAACTACATTTATGTGATAGGATCTTGTGACTAATAGTAATTACTCAACAAGGGGAACAACAGCCTAAAGAAAAAAGAAATGAATTACATGTATTGGCAAGACAAAGATGCTTAAATTGGGAGAGGTATTGACAATGACGCAGTATATGTTCAACTGAAAATGTTAAGATAAAGAAGATCCAATTTAAATTCTACTACAGTGTTTGTCCAATTTGGATAATGGTGTCCCTTCATTTTTGTATTTTAAATAGTGTTACCTTTCTATTGCTAGCAATGTACATGTTAGTATATATTTAGTTGGTTGCACCTCTGTTCTTGCAGTTCATTTTAGTTTAATAAGGTTAAGGAGTATCTGAAATATTTTCTAATATATTTTTATTCAGTTTGTTTGGCGTGGATACTTGATATGATATCTTGGAACTTATGTTATAATATTCTTTTAGCTGAATATTTCTACCCCTACCATACTGTCTAATGTAATAGGCCTTTGTGGTTCCCTCAATTTTAAATCAAAGTCTAATTTTTATTTTTTTGTAGGATGATGAAGCCTAAACCAACGCTACTTGCAATCTAGTTCATGCACTGCACAAGCTGGAAGATTTGTCTTTTGGGTTCTATTAGATTAGAATTTACTGACCTAGGACATATGATGTTTTTATCCTTTTGTAAGTAAAAAAACGTTTAGAAGTATTTAGCTATTAGAAGGGTGTATATATCTAGTGCAACAACTGAATTAATCTTTTACATATATATAAAATTTAGTAATTTATATAGATTTGTTAAAAATCTAAAAGCATATAGGAATTATGTATATAGCAACAATTCTTAAGTTGTTGCTAAAACAATTCACGAAGCTCATATACAACAATTAATGTTGTTGGCACAAAGTAACATATTACCACAATAACGCTTGTTGCTAAAATTCTTGATAACATATTAACTAGTATTCCCGCAATTGTTTTTGCAACAACTTATATTGTTGAAAAAAAGATTGATTTGTCGCAACAATTATTGTTGTTGCTGAATATTTTTATAAACCACAATTATATGCTTTTATAACAACAAAATATAATTTATTGCAACAACAAGATTTGTTGAGATAATTTAGCTATTTGGCAACAACATCGGTTCTTGTTGCATAGATTTTTCGCATCGGACTTTGCTGCAACAACGTGCAACTACTTATTTTTTGTTGCAAAAAGTATGTTTCGCAACGACAACCAATATATTACAACAAAAAATATTGTTGCAAATTTCGTGCTTTCTTGTAGTGTATATGAGTAATGATTTCTTTGGCTCCTCTACATACCGGACATACTACACTATGTTCATTCCGAGGTAGTTTAGGCTTTAGATAAGAACGACAAGGGAGCCTATTATGATAACATAGCCATAAAAGGAACTTAATTTTGTTCAGGGAATGAAGTTTTCAAATCCATGTAAAATCTTTCTCTGTATTACTAAAGCCATCGATGAGTTTATAGCAGGAGTTGATAGTAAACATACCATTACTGGTAATATCCCAAACTGGAGTGTCATAAGCGAGGGTTAAAATTAGTCAAAAAAGATAAGATATAAGGATTTAAAAGTGAAAATGGAATGTCTACTTGCTGTGAAGTTTATCAAAGGTACACCATCATACTCTTAGAGCTATAATTTTAAGATTGCAAATTTTTGAAGAGGCGCAAACAAATGTGCAGATTTTCTAACAAATTAAGGTGAAAAACGAGATGAAATTTGCCAGTATGGAAGTAACGATCAAGAATATGGAGTTTGTGCTCTTGTCAATATATCTTATGAGATAGTTTAGTATTTCGCAATATACCAAAAACAAAATAGTGAAAAGATAAGGAAAAGAAAGGCAGTAATTATATAATTTAATAAGGCAGTAATTATATAATTTAATTTTTGTCTTTATTGTCACATTGGTAGATTTATGTGCCCCAGCTTAATCCTTTTCTTCACTAAATACAAAATAAGGTAGTAGGGAAAGAACACAGCTGCAGATCTACGACTCCTGAACACATAACATGCATTCGAAAAGTCCAATTACATAAGTAAGATTTGTTACTTTATGTATTTCCCAAATCCCAACCACAAGAAAATATTTTATTTTCAAGGAGACGAACAAGTTAAAACAAGTGGCGACAAATTACTGAATAATGGGTCAACCTTTTCTTCTACAAATTATATTTACTGAAAAACAATATTAGTTGACCGTCAAGAGTAATGAAGTTTTATGAAAAGAAAAAAAATAAGAAATGTGAGAGTTGAAATTTGTAACAAAAGAAACCAGTGAATTACATATCGGAGCGACCGAACCAAAGTCGGGTCGGGTTGATTGATTACTTAGATGCATGTAATTACACGTCCTACACTATTACGAAATTTAAATTAAAAATTCATCAATGATTAGCCATAAATATTTTTAAATCCATTTATAGATATACCATATAATCACAAAAGGAAGGATTTTAATGACATCAAAATTCGTAAAATTTGAAATTAATTGCAATTTATTTTGAAATGCCTTTGAATGATAAGCGACATTTGTTGATGCAAGCATAGAGATCATGAATTCCTTGCATCAAAATAGAGTAAAAGAAAAAGCTATTCAATCAAAAAACGGCATAATAAAAAATTAAATACGAGTCCTTGTAAATTACGTAACTTACAATCTAATACTAGTTACAATTTCAAATTGCATCACTCTAGTATAAAGTTTGAAAAAATAATTAAATGTGCCTACTAGGAAAAAATTGACTATATAAAACCAAATCTCTCTTCTTGCCCGTGCTCCTACATGAAAAAAGATTTTTTTAAAGTTCATCATTTTTAGTACTATTTTTTTCGAATCTCATCGTCAAATCTTTGTTTGATTATACATTTAACTAAACTTTTGAAAAAGAGTTTCAAATTTGAAAAAGTAAATATTAACCCTTTTTTAAATAAATAATATTTTTCTCTTTTAAAATTGTAATATTTTTTCAAGTGAAATGCATATTCAAACGCAATTTCAATTTTCAAATATCTTTTTCTAATTTAACTTCAAAAATTACTTTTTTTATAAAACAAATCATATTTTATTTATGTCCAACAATAACAATAATAATATTATACCCCGTGTAATCTCACAATATAATATACATAAAGGTCTTAGCCCTACCTTATGAAAATAGAAAGCATGTTTCCCAAATTTTTATGTCCAAATGCCTGCTAAATACCAAATTTTCTATTTTTCAAAAACATTGAGCAAATTACCTTAGGCAAAATAATAAAAAAGAAAAAGCAAAAAAGAGGAGGAGATCTTATGTGCTGAGTCATTTTACCAGCCATACACACTCTTTCACCACCTCCTGCTTCAATCATCATCCCATTCCTTCCGTCTCATTGTTTTTGCGTATATAGTCGCGCGCGCGCACACAACAAATAGAATTCTGATAACTATATGGTTTGAAAGAATCGAAAAAGGAATCTGAGAGAGAGAGTATTTCAAAAATTGGAATTTCCTTTTTGTTGTTTAGAGATCCGAATTTTGTGTAAATCTTTTCAGATTCCAAATAAGCTAAGCTCTTTACGAAATCTCGTCGAGATTTAACATAGCTCTCTCTCTCTCTCTCTAGCTAGAGCTTTTTCACGTGTTTGTTGATGCTTATCTAAGAGCTTTACTGCAAATTGCACACTCCTCTTCAGGTAATGCGCAAAAATCCTTTCAAAACTCAAGCAAATTAATTAAAAACAAAAACATGTTAATTACGGGTATATGTATGTTTATGCATGTGTTAGAGTGAGTTGATTTGGGATTCTGTCAACCTAATGCAATTTCTCTTTGAAGCCGTGTTTGTTGCTGAATTTTGGATGTTTTTTTGTCAAATTTTGCATGTCCTGTTAATTTTTTCTTTTTTTAAATTTTGACGAGATCGGCTTAAATATTGAAATATCTGTCAATTCGGACGTTGTGTGCTGCTATTCATTTTTATTGCGTGAGCTTCTTTTTTTTTTTTTTTTTTTTTTTTTTTTTTTTTTTTTTATCTTTTTTTTTTTTGATGTGAATATTCAGTGTTATTGCGTGTGATCTTTGTTTCGTCTTGACTTTTATCGTATTTTTAAATGTTTTTCTAATAATTGGCAAAGCAGTTGTTGTGCTGACGAGTAGTTAAGATGTGTAACTGTGTAGTGTGTAGGAATGCGTGTTTTTATGCGATGTTGGAATTGGACATGGTCATGTTTTTATGCGATGTTGGAATTGGACATGGTCAATATTATCATGCTATTCAAATTTGGTATTTGCTAAAAATATTTAAGCTCTTTACTGGTCTGAAATGGTATGACCAGTCACTAATATAATTAGGGCATATTCTGAAGAAGATGTGTTTATTTTAATTATTAATTAAAACTAAAAGAGAAGATGTGCAACTTATCTTCGACCACTATGGACAATGAGTGGCCTCAAACTTGAAAAATAAATTTCTTTTCCTCTGAATTTGTCTTTGTTTGTCAAGTTTTTATGAGCATGTTATGAGATATCAACCCACAGTCGGTGCCTCCATGCTATTAAACTATGGTTTAGTGATGCACATTTATTGTGCATAAAAGAATATTTCATTCTCCAAAACTATAGCAAAACTAGGCAGCAGTTCTCGGTTATCAGCGTTCAGTAAGTATTGTGATAGATTGAAATAGGATTGGTGTAATTACCTTCTCAATTTCCATCAACCAAACAATTCTAGCTCTGTAGTATATGAAAAACGGTTTTTCATTGTCTGGAGTTCTGCTTATTTTTTTTATTGTTTCTCTTATGTCCTTTTCATTTTGGCTGTACAGTGAAACATGGTTGCTTTTGGGAAGAAGTTGAAGGACAGACAGATCCAAGAATGGCAAGGGTATGCAGAATAATACGTTATAGACCTAGTTGTTGTATACTTTCTTTCATTTAAACTTGCTGGAAACTAGACCATGCATTATCTTTCGCTGGTTTATTCGGAGGATAATTTCCATGGAAGCATGTTAAATGCTTTTCAACCTTGCTACATTTGAGAGTATCATTTCCACTTTTCCAGTGCTTATACAGTTTAAACGAGTGACATCTAGAGAAACTGTAATATCTGCTGTATAACAGTTGAGCACAAGCTCTGTTAAGAGGAAGGAAATAACAGTTAAATTGCAGAACAACAGCTAGTAAGCTTGTGTAAGGGTTAAGTAAACATATTGCTTTGTGATAATAAAATAGACAAGGCAAACTTATGTGGAGACGTAAAGAAAATAGTTAAGCAAAGAGATATATTAGATCCTACCTGTTAAAGGAAAGGAAACAAGGAAACTAGCTTTTATTTGAATCCGCAGACATATTTTGATTGTGTTGTCAAAATTGATTGGTTTTTGTATACTTGAAGAGCTTTATTTTGTACTTTCCAGATATTACATCAACTACAAATTAATGAAGAAAAAGGTTAAGCAGTATGGTAACCAAATCAAAGCTGGAGCACTAGATCGTCGACATGTTCTTAAGGATTTCTCACGGATGCTGGACAATCAGGTAAGAATATGACGATTGTGCACTAGCATCCTTTACGTGCATCTCAGCTAAATGATGTTAGAGTTGGTTTGTTGATCTTTACTGTCAGATATTTTCCTAACGGTTTTTATTGTTAAGAGTAAGTTATGAGGCTCGCCAGTACATTCCTTGTTATTCTTTAAAAAAGTGTGATGATCTTTCTTGAAGTGATATCTATTCCTATTTCAACTTGAAACCGGTAAGTAGTAGCTGCAAGTATGTTATACCGAAAAAACAGGCAGCCCTTCTCCAAAATACTGACTATTTTCCAAGTTTCTTAGAGAGGTATTATTCAGTCTCTCAAAAATTAGCATGTTATAGAACCCTCATTTGTCTTTAATCTCCTCTTCCTAGGAGGCAGTGATGATTCAATCCATGCCTTCTTCTTCGATGTTTATTTCTTTCTTCTGGCTATTGCGTCATCTCTCTCTCTCTCTCTCTCTCTCTCTCTCTCTGTATTCCAAACAGGCATTTGGATAGGTCAACTGTCAAAGGTGGACTTCAGGAATTAGCCTAATTTTGTCTATGTGCTAATACCTTATTCATGTATTGTTTGGTTAAAAGGATGTTCCTTATAGGGAAGAAACATTCTGTCACACTCATCTATACTTTTACTTAAGTAGAATAAAAGTGAAAGCCTGTGCAATTTTCTTCATATTGCAGATTGAAAGAATTGTTCTGTTTTTGTTGGAACAACAAGGAGTGCTGGCAAGCAGGATATCTGAACTTAATAAGCAGCAAGATTCTCTTCAAGAGCAGCCTGATATATCCAAAATAACCGAGCTGCGAGAAGCTTATAGAGATGTGGGACGTGATCTTCTGAAGCTTCTCTTTTTTGTTGAAATAAATGCCATTGGGCTGCGGAAGATCCTCAAGAAGTTTGACAAACGTTTTGGGTATAAATTCACTGATTATTATGTCAAAACCCGGGCTAATCATCCTTATTCCCAACTTCAGCAAGTTTTCAAGCATGTGGTAATATGCTAAACTCAAATAGCTACTGCATTCTTTTCATCTTCTTCTACTAGTAATAACAAGACTGTTCCTTCTATAGCATCAACTACTACTATGACTACTACACTACTATTGGTTTACTCTGTCTAGTTGGCATTTTTTAATGAGAAGTACGAAAAAACGAGTTAGACACAAAGAAATATCGAACCTTGTGTATTTGTGATGAGAAAAAGTGAATTTCCTTCAGAAATTTGATAGACTTGTCCAAGAGCAAAATCTCACTGACAAATCACAAAAGGTCAAGGTGGACTTCACTGATCATGAATGGTGATTGCAGGGACTAGGGGCAGTTGTTGGTGCAATATCTCGTAATCTTGCAGACCTTCAGGACCGTCAAGGAAGCTACTTGTCAATTTATGACCAGCCTTCTCTTCCACTCCAGGTTTTTCTCTACATCCTTTAATCCTTTTGTCTTGTGCTGTTTCATAATCCTTTGTGCATCACAGTTTCTTGATATCAAATAATTTTGAGACTTCCTCTACTGTATTCCTATATGGCATTAAATTGTTTTGCAGGATTCTGTTGTTGACTCAATGAAAGCAGCTGTTGATAGATTAAGCAATTCAACAAACTTCCTTAACTTTTTGGCCCAACATGCACTTATCATGCAAGAAGAGTTCCCTACTCCTGTTGAGGAACAAGTTGATGATCAGAGATACCATTTTATGTCACTTCTCTTGAACTTGGCAAATACCTTCCTTTATATGGTCAATACATATATTATTGTTCCAACAGCAGATAATTATTCTATGAGCCTTGGTGCTGCTGCAACAGTTTGTGGGATTGTGATTGGAGCCATGGCTGTTGCGCAGATCTTTTCCTCTGTGTATTTTAGTGCTTGGTCAAACAGATCTTATTTCAGACCTCTGGTATTTAGCAGTATAGCTCTCTTTGTGGGGAATGTCATGTATGCATTGGCTTATGATCTCAATTCGATACCAGTTCTCCTTATTGGTCGATTATGTTGTGGGTAGGTCTCTCTCTCTTCCCAAATCTGTGCATGTGTTGCACCACGCACATGGATATCTGTGATGAGTATTTTAGATATTTCTTTGCTATATTTTAGGGGTGATGGTAGGGTGTATAGAGAAGAATTTAATACCTTTTAGACAGATAATCTTCAGTGATATCAAAGATGAGGATTTTGCTGAATTGATTTTGGAGTGTGATATGAGGACTTTAAACAAATTAGCATGTTTAATAATTTAACAGCATAGAATTATATATTTTGGTTCCGGAAAGCTAGGCTATTCTTGTGTGTCGTTGGAAATAAAACATTACTTCGGGGACCAGGTAAACAACCACCTTCAGTCTGGAATATCGAGATCACGTGAGTAAAGAAGTCAAATGAATGATATTAGTTGAAGTCAGTAAACCATTTGCTTGCTCATCTTCATACCACATTCATTTCATTCCTACTTCTGTTTTGTTGAGGTTCATTCTGATGTTGAAATGATAACTTACACCTGAATATTAAGTTGACAGGAAGGTGCTTTCCCCTTTTGTGTCTTTGATTTGCAGTTTGGGTTCTGCCAGAGCAGTGAACCGACGTTACATCAGTGACTGCGTGCCCCTTAGAATCCGGATGCAGGCGTCAGCAGGATTTGTCAGTGCTAGCGCTCTTGGAATGGCATGTGGTCCTGCACTTGCTGGATTACTCCAAACTAATTTTAAGATTTACAAGTTGACCTTCAATCAAGATACTTTGCCTGGTTGGCTCATGGCTTTTGCATGGTTAATCTATTTGATATGGCTGTGGATCTCATTTAGAGAACCTGCTAATGAGACAGAAGTGAACAATGGTCCTCAAGAATCTAATAGTGGTACGTTGAACTTTTTGTTGCATGGTATGGGTATATAGCATTAATTAGCACATGTCCACTCTCCTTTTCCCTCCATTCTCTATGCTTTAACTGGACTGGTATCAGTTAAACTCCAAACATGGTGCAAGACGTTGACAGCAATGCCGTTATTGAAATAGCTTCCTTGTAGGTTATGGTGAGATGAAGTGTACAAATATATAATGCTCTTGGGATGGGTTAATGTTGTTCAGGTTGAATGAATATCTATCTGAAAATCCTGTTGCATTGATAATTACTTGTCGAGGTGCTAAATTCATTATCTTTTTATTGTGTCATTAGCTTGTGGCTGCATGGACCCAGCCAGTAAGACCACTTTTTGAGCCCAACTTTTCTATTTGTGTAGACCTCACATTGTTATTTAGCCACGTATATCAAAGTTTTTTTAACTGTTGTAGCTTGATAAACCACAAAGTTTAGGATGAGAGTAGATTGTGTCTTTTACACAATGCTGAGTGAGGGAAATGCAGAGTATAAATTAGTCCACTTGAGAAGTAGAAAAAAAATTGAAAAACTATTTCTTTTGATGCCGTATTATGTTCAGAAAGATTAGCGAATGGATAATAGTAGAAGTTCTATTACATAAGTAGACATTGTCTTTAACATTTAGAAATACCATATTTTCTGCAAGAACATCCAAAATAATACAGTAAGATTGAATCAGAGACATAGGGGTACGGCATATTTATATGTACTTCTCCAACCTCTGTTTTAAAGTCCCAAAGTGGGAAATGAGGAATTCCGCACTCAACTCTTTAATGGAACCTCGCGCAAATGCTCTTTAGTGTATATTAAGGTGCACTAACTTATACTTTTATGTGTAATAGTTTAACACTGAATGGAAATTAAGAAGCTCATTTGACTTACTAAATTTCTACCATCGAAAAGAATGCTGAACTAGAAATTGGGAGTATGTGAATGAAGTTGGTGTAACAAGAAACATCATATTATGATTTTAAAACTTATAGATGTGTTTTATTCTTTGTGCAAGTGCATCACATTATTTTAAACCACCCAGAAGAAAAAGTTCATGTCATACAAAATGGAAGAGGTGGAGTGTTTATCTAAATACAGTCTGATGCTGAATTTTTTTTTATACCAGTAGAAAATGATGCCCTTGAGAAGGGTGTTACACAACCATTGCTCTTAAAAGCGGAAGAGAATCAACACGATGGTGAGAATGACCAAGAATATGATGGGAGTGAAGAAGCTCCTGAGGAGTCTCGTAAGCCGGCGAACTCTATAGCAGAAGCATACAGATTACTTACTCCTTCTGTGAAGGTAAGTAGTCAACTCTGACCTTGTTGTTTGTCTTATCAACATGTGAGTAGAGTCTATTGAGAAATGGGTCAATGATATTACTCGCATCCATCCTTAATGGCTATTTGTCCCGTGGAAGTCCAGCCATGCTGTGTGTTTCCCACACCTTGCTTCCTTATGTTGCTTGGACTTCGAAATTCTTCCTCTCTTTAACGAGATGGATAATGACGTCAAAGAAAAGGGACAGGGTAAGTAGGTCATGAACTGTTGCTTATCATAATTGGAGGTTAACAATGGTGGTTTACTTATTGAAAGTAATGTTGTAGTACATAAGCTTACCTTACTAGAAAGCAACACACAACTAATGAGGATCAGTGTCTTGATACTCCAAGTAATTTCCATCAAAATCAGAGCTTTGGAAGTAGTTAAGCATCTGTTGGCATTGGTGACCTAACAGGCCAGAGGTCCTACTACTATTATCTCATTATGCATGTACATTTCCACTTCGTATTAAACACATACTGCTAAGAAGCAATTCCTTTTAATGAGAACTCATGTTTTTGGAGGGAAGTGTACAGTATAAATCAAAGCACATAAAATTGTGCTCTTTTGGTGCTTGCTGGGGTCAGGTACAGATGTGGAAGTGCAGATAACTTTATGTCTAATTGGGCATTGCCTTCTCACAGTGCTCAGGAGAAAAAGAAACAAAGCAAAGGAGAGGAAAAATGAAAGATGGATCACTCTCTGTATGCATATGAAAAAAGAAGCATAATATAACTTGATTATGCTTTAAGATTTATATTTAAATGGCCAGTGACATGACTCTTTCATCTATACAGGTTCAATTACTAATCTACTTTATGCTGAAATATGCAATGGAGATTTTACTTTCAGAATCCAGTGTCGTTACGTCATATTACTTTGGCTGGTCAACGGGAACCGTGGCAATTTTTCTTGCGTGTCTTGGCCTCACGGTACTTCCGATAAATGTTGTTGTTGGGAGCTACATAAGTAACATGTTCGAAGACAGGTAACTTCTTTTGCACAAGAATATGCTTTGGCTGCTTACTTTTTGGACAGGGAGCTAAATTTTCTAAAGTTTTCTTGGATATAAAGTTTTGTTGCTCATATTGATGGATATTACAATGAGAATAGAATAACTTTCCTTCACTTGCATAAGAAGGCTATCAGTCTGTAGTATTTACTCTTATCAGAGGGATTCGTAAGTGCATTAGTTTCTCTTTTGGCCTTCATGTTTACTAGTGCATTGAATTCCTTGTGCGCTGTATGCTCATACAAAGGTAGCTATTTGTTGTGGCTCTGCTTCTAAACTTCATGTCTTCTGCTAATTAATCCATATATAATGCCGTGCTACTAAAACTTCGATTCAGTTCTTGAAAATTGATGCATCTAATTACCAAAAAGCAGAATAATCAATTCAAGATCAAGCATGTGAAAATTCGCTACTATCGTGTTGAACCTTTGCTATCAGAATTCAATGATAGATTTCTTCTGTTTTCAGGCAAATTTTGTTGGCATCTGAAATCATGGTTTTTCTTGGTATACTTGGGAGCTTTCATGTTGTAATCTCATATTCTGTTCCACAATATGTTATTTCCGGGCTCATAATGTTTGTAGCTGCTGAAGTGTTGGAAGGTAAGACCTCTCTGTCCGATTCTTTTTTCCCCTTTAAGAAACTTACTTCTCATCTGAACCTATCAATATGATAAAGCAATAGGTTAGTAGCTCTGCTCAAGCGAAGAAAATTTCAGGCAAAAGGAAATACTGTAGGTTCCAAATAGCCAGCTGTGCATGATACCGCTGCTAATTTAGCATTATATGATTGCTACTGTGAGGGGCACCATGCCCATATCTAACGCATATATCTGTGGTCGGAGATGTTTTCAGATCATTGATGGATGGTATGTTGCATCTGGGTGGCTAGTGGTAGAGTGGCCTCATAATATTCTAGGTTCTCTCAATAATTATATCAGTAGCTTTCCTTTTCCCTTCTACGTGAACTAATTCAAAGATGATGTTTTTAATCTCACTTGATAAGCTTATCCACATGTCACAAACTAAAGTCCTTGATTTCAGAAACTAGGTTTACAGCAGCATATCTTGGATAAATGGATCCGTTACTGAGTGACGTATGGCTGTTTATATTTGCTTACTCCTAAAAAGAATGTACTCCTAGAAAATTGATTTTTGAGGTCTCTTTTTGACCATGGGGGCTCTTTTGAAGTAGGTTAAGACTTAAGACCACATTTCTTATAATAGAAATAGGGCTATCAATTGGAAGTGACAGACACACAGGGAGTAATTGAGCGAAAAAAAGGTGCTGGTCTTTTTCCTTCCAGTACCTTTAATGATGTGATCCTGGAATGATAAGCCTAATCCTGCTGAATTTAGCTTTCTTAACCAGTCTCGAATTGGTTAAGCCGAAGTCTTTAGCACAATAAACTTGGACAGATACAAATCTTGTTGATGATAACTGTGTTCTTTATTTATTTTGTTTTTTTGGTTGCGTCTTTTACTGCTTGCATGCTAAATCCCTCTAATTTCGCTGATGAATATAGGTGTGAATTTATCGCTCCTCTCTCGAGTCATGTCATCCAGGCTTTCTCGTGGAACCTACAATGGGGGTCTCTTGTCAACAGAAGCTGGCACAATTGCTAGGGTGATTGCAGATGTAACCATAACCCTTGCTGGGTATTTGGGGCAGAGTACGCTCTTGAATGTTACTCTTCTTCCTTCGCTTTTGATTTGTGTAGCTTCCATTGTTGCAACCTGTTACACCTACAATTCTCTTTACTGAGCAGTCTTCTGTAATTTGAAAACGTTCTCGACTGCAGAAGCATCATTGTCCTCAATTCTTTTCAGGCCTCCTCCCTTTCTGGTTTAATAATTGAGTTTGTTTTCTTTAGGTACTTTTGTTTTGCCCCATGTGTAATATTGATGTAAATTTTCGGTTAGTAATTAGTTCATTGATTTCTTTATCTTAACTGGGTTCTTATTATTTAATGTCTGCTGTTGTCCTATATATGGAAATTGCTTGCTTAGAAACTGCTACTCTGACTTATAGGTAGTTGTAGTTGCTGGTTGGTTGTTCTAATAATGTTGTCAGCCTAATTGTCATTAGGTTGCTGTTAGTGTCTGTCGCAGAACTTGTAATGCGGTCCAGCAACGTTAGCTATATATATCATGGTACAAATCAGTCACTGGCCGATTATTTTGTTGTGCAACCATTCCTTCCGATATAGTTATAAACTTATGTATACTTATTAGTGTAGTTTTATTGGTAGTAATAGGTCATCACTTAACTATTAGTGTAGTTTTACTGGTTGTAACAGGTCACCTACTATTCTTTGTGGGTTACTATTCCATGCGCGTCATAGAAAATGAGTCGTTTTTAATATTGTCGGTACGTTTATGAACTCAATGAACTGTCGCACCGTATGTGAAATTACTGAGCGAGTTGTGGTTCGGTTTTTTTCACTCAATACCAAATCAAATCAAACTAAACCTAATCGGGTTTTTTCATCGATTTGGTTTGACTTTTTGGTTTGGTACGATTTTCCGTTTTCGGTTTGTACACCCCTAACAACAAAGGTCTATTGTATGCAGTCTTACCCTATATTTCTGCAAGAGGTTATATCCACGGCTCGAATCCGTGATCTTTTGATCACATGACAGTAACTTTACCAAGTTAGTTTCATTAATACATTAACATATTAAGTTTCGTCATTCTTTTACAATGAGTAGGATAAATTCACCGCCATTAATGTTGCTCATGATCAGAACTTGCAATTACGTGGCACCTCCACCTGGCTTACCCACTTAATTTCAACGGTCAATCTGCCAACTAATTGTCGTCATTAGCTGCTCACTGACTGTTGTGTCATTAATTTTGTCCACAAATTTTAAATCGTGTTACACAAACTGACTATATTAGCTGGAAAAGCATAACCAAAGTATGACGATCTTGGCCTTGGAAAAGGGTACATTGTACTAGTGTCGACTTCCTACTTCTACTTAGAAGTAGGAGTGGAAACAATGCATCTTAAATTGCTACCTGAACTCGTCATAGCTCGTCTGATCATATTATGAGTTACGTTCTCTAATATTTATCCAATAATATTATATTTATATTTCGTGCGTGGATAATTAATAGTGGATTAGCTATTGTTAGATAAAACCTTCATTTTTCTGTGGTCAATTTTGGTTATACTTGTTTGATATTGGTTGGCAGTTGAGTTGTACTAGCTAGAGACAAAGGAAATTAGATTACCAGGAATTTTGGTGACTTATTTAGATTGTCCTTTTTCAAATTGGGACCCCTGAAAAGAATAGGAGATAAGTAAAGAACTACTCACTGCCAACAAAATTAATTGCATTAAATATAATGAAAAGCGGTTGGTTGAAACACAAAAATAATAACAATAACTAGTAAATGCAGTGACCTCAAACTCAAAAGAGTTTATTCTATCCCGTCCATAATAAGTGACCAATTTATCTTGGGCACATCCATTAAGAAAATACAAAATTCTAGACAAAAATAGTTAGTGTGACTAAATTACTCTTAATTAAATGTTGCAGCATAGTTAATGTGAGAAGTAAATTTTTTTTTAGGGATATGTACATAAGGGTAATTTTGGAGAAACAAATTGAATTTTTTTTTGATTATATAAATGGACACTTATTTTGGACCAAAATAAAAAGGCAAATTGGTCACTTATTGTGGAGCGGAGGGGATAATGTTGGATTGTTGGCATGTATCACTTTTTGCTTGCTTGCATGTATCACTTTTTGATAAGGAAAGGTGAATTTACACCATATATAGGGTGTGAAGTGTATGGTCTAGTGGTCAATGAAGTGGTCAGTTGAGAATCATAAAATCTCAGGTTCAAATTTTATCGGAGACAAAAACATTAGGTGATTTCGTCCCATCTGTCCAAACCTTGAAGGGCAGAGTTACCTAATACTTGTGCTGGAGGGAGATAAAAGGTATCCTGTAAAATTAGTTGAGTTATCCATAAGCAACCCCAACACCACAGTTATAAAAAAAATATATTACACCTATTATATGTACCAAATTAGTATAGTCATTATTTTGCATAAATTTTTATCGTTTAACAGCGTTGATTCACATATGTTTAACACATGTTATTAAATAAAAAATCTAAGGAAGTTTCAAATTTAGAGTATAACATTTTAATTTTTTTTTTCAAGGATGCATGGTCAAGGGAAATAAAAAATTGAGTGTTAGCTAGAAAATATTAACTCTTAAACAAAACTTTTTTCATTGCTCTATATTGAACCCTACGTTAAGATTAATTAACTAAAATTAGTGCATGCCCCTAGTGCAAAGTAAAATTGTTCCTTAGTGAAAAAGGATTAACGTACATGGTAAGTATTCACTTACACGCTCAATTGGAACTGTCACTTCTATAATACCTACGATAAAATAATTAAAAGAAAACAGTTAACCAACCATATTATTCACTAAAAAATGGATTGGATAATGAACTTTTTAAAAACGGGTCAAATATGAATAAGAACCATATTATCCATTTAGGAAATGGATAACCAATGGATAACTAATGGGTTTAACTTTTACATTTGTAAAACCTCAAATTAGGGTTCCTCAAGTTTGGAAGACTAGAAATTCTCACAAAAGTGATTATATTCATGAAATCATGGATAATATGATTACCCATATTATCCGCCGGTTAACCTCTTTTTTATCCGTATTAAATATGGGTCGGGTTCGATAATTTATCCATTTTTTCATTTTCCGTTTTCGACCCGTCCAATATCCGATCCGACCCGCATGTTTGTCACCTTGGCTATACTTTCTTTTTATAATACCTTTACTCAAAACAAGATAAATCATGTTAAATTGCAATATTACACAGCAGCAGCTGCTAGCTATTCAATCTCGAATGTCAATATTAACATTAAACGTGTATAGCTTTTGGAATTCCAGACAATATCGATCAGTACAAAAAAGAAAACGTAATTCCTTTGTCTCCAAGCAAATAAATATGCTTATATAATGTTTGAAAAGTTTGTATAAATCTAACTTCAGTCGAAACAAATGCATGCACGTATATTTATACGAAAATAATCATTGACTTTATACTTCGAGTTAAAAAGGAAAAAAGAAAAGGATATATAGGGGAGAACTGGAGATGGATAAAAAAACAAGAATACAAATTCCAAAACATAACAGAAGAATATCAATCCCACTTAATCTTTTCAAGGTAAAATCCTAATTAAGTTCCTAAACTATTATTATCATTTCCCTCAAAATAACTATAACTAGACCATCAAGGATTGAGTGTGTTAAGATGCATCAGATCCCTTTAGTTTTAACCATAAATTCCGTGTTCGGTACCCATACAAATCCGAATTATAGTCTGACCGGTAAATTTCGCATACCATATTACAATTACAATAACAACAATCCAGTAGATTTTCACAAGTGGGGTATGTGGAGGATAGAACGTATACAGCCTTAGGTTGTTTCCGATAGACCCTCAACTAAAGAAAAAATGAAAGAAGTATTGAAAAGATATTAAGAAAATCGAAGCCAAGATAGCAATAGAGCGGTAGGTAGTAATTATTAGGAGTTTTGCCTGATTTTCTTACCATATTTGGGTTTTACTTTTCTCTTAAAAGAAAGTCAAATTAAAGTACTACCATAATTGCCTTTACTTGAAAGAAAAATATAATTCTCTTTCATATTTGATTCACTACAACAAATTTATTCTAAGGCCACACTAATTTTAGACAACGCTTAAAAAACCTTGCCAAAAGTATTTGTGGCAACACTTTTTGAGGGGTGGTATTTGCTGAGAGCTTTTGGCTACGAAATTTAGGCGACACTTCCAAAGCGTTCTCTTTCAATATAAAAGCTTCGAATTTAGGCGACACTTCTATGTACTAAAGTTAAATTTCGTTTTCAAAAAAAAGTCTACTAACCTAATTTGTCCATCAGTATACAACAATTAAATGTAAGGAAGAAACAAAGTCATACTAGTCTAGTAATTGAAGAATTACAAAATATTTTGGCAATAGAAAGAATATATAAATATTTTGGTAGCAAAAGAATTTCTAATAAGTTGGTTTTCCATCGACGTAGCCTATTCAACTCTACAGAGAATATAACTAGATGTCTGGATGTTAAGAAAACAAATGAGGAAGGCCAATATAGCATGATTTTTGTCTATAGGTTCTGTTACTCAAATCATTCCAACATGATTATATTTTCATCTCAAAACTCTTAGCATATAGATTTTCCTCTACTTTTGTCATTTATTTTAGTCGTGTGTATGTATAACTCATACTTATGTGATAGTATTGTTCCGAGTCCCCAAGGGGCAAGGGTCACTCTACCACATTGCTCTGAGTTTGCACTTGCATACTGTTGGTTTCTATCTAATTACTAATTTTATTTTGGTGGAAAGTTTTGGTGAGCAATTGAAAATGGTGCCAAAAGACAATTTGATATATTGAAATTTAACGATGAAGACTTTAGACAATTACGATTTTTGTTATTCCTGATACTATAGTAATACACTTGATTTTGTAAAAGTTACAAACATGAACCTTGAAATAATTTGCTTTATTCGTACAAATTACATGAGATTTAATTTTTTTGAAGTTCACAGCAAGTATATGCATTTGAATTATTCTTTTGTTATTTTTTTTTATACATAATTTAGTGCTTGAGATCTTCATACGTGATTATGAGATAAATACAAAGATGTATTTTATTGAACGCAAACGCATATATATATATATATATATATTTATTAAACAAATTACACTACTAGAAATCCGCTAAACACCGACCAAAAAAATCGATGAAAATTGGTCGGCTATGGCCAATTACCGACCAAAACGCGACCATTTATGTGTGGACGGTATTTTGACGGTCGGACAGGCATACCGACCAAAGTTGGTCGGAAATTACCGACCAAAGTTGGTCGATTTTTTAATTATGTAATCAAAAGATT